TTTGTTGACCATAGCCCAAGAAAATACTTGTTTTTCCTTGCTGGTCAGGCAGACATCAACTCACCTCTATAGACAGACGTTCCTCGTTTTCGTCGATAATCTCGTCATCCTACGTACACACACACATACAAAGAGAGAGAAAATATTGGCATGCAGAAAAAAATAAAAGCCGAAGCAGCCGCATATAAGAGTGAAGAATCACTCACTTCAAGAGACATTTGACTACTCTATCGCAAAAAAACACGGAAGTATGCATCATGCGATAAAAATCTCATCTGCTGAACATTTTTATAGGATTAAAAATAACGTACCTACATTAATTTTTATTTTTACCATGACATAACAATAAACCCAACGAACTTATGCAATATTCTTTTCGCATTCCAAAAAAAATACAGTAAAAGAACATTATCAGTTGAAATCACAAAAGGAGTATCACATGCGAGATTTTGACCAAACGAGCGAAAAAACATACGCAATTTTCTGGAAAAACTTCAATTAGAAGCCAGGTAAAGTCAAATATTAGTACTTTTTAAATATTTTTTTTCACTTTTCTTCAAAGAATAAAATTATTTTTATACTAAATCTCCAATGTAAATATCTTTTTAAGCAACGTTGGATCTTGAGCAAGACTTGAAGCAAATCCCTATTGATTTGCAAGGGGGTTTTTAGTCACGGAAAAATGGTAGGGATTTTTTCTTTTTACCCCCATAATTAGTCGCACAACAAGTGCAAATATCAAAACCTTTTCAGTCGGAAAGAAGGATTCAGAGAAATTTCCACTGGAGCAATTTTTCAATACTTTAATTCGGAAAACAGTATTTGTACATCGTATGCCTGGAAATCCATTCAACTTTTATTGTCGCGAGTTAATTTGATCTTCACGTAAACCGAAGCATAGGCAAATATTTGAAGTTTTTTTCAAAAATTGACTAAAAATTATTTTGTAATATATACTATACTTTCCTCAACAGCAATTGATCGAGCAAATAATACGTACGAAAAAAAAGCTCGCTATAATCATTTCTTTCAACCAGAAAATAAACGTTGCTTCATCGCTCATCCGACAAAAAATCTCATTAAAAAAAACGGAATATAGCTTATTCTTAAATAAGACGATCTTGAGTAATTTTGACTGAAGTCGGAGTACAGTACAGTACTGCAGTATTACAAATTTAAAAAAACAAACAAACCTGAGTAGCGGATTTCTTGATATTGAGCGCGTTCTTGATGGAGAACTTCTCGAGGACGACGTGGTACGAAGCAATTTGCTCGAATCGTTTCCGATTGCTGACCAAATTAGTGTACGTTTGTCGACCCATGCGATTGAAGGCTTCGTCGGACGGTGCCAAAACAGTCGTGCCTTCATTGGCACGCAGAATGGCGTTCCACGTAGTCGGGGCCTGGGTCTTGAGCAACTCTGCGAATTTCTTGAGGTCCGGGTTGCCCTCGATGAGCTGGGTCAGGGTTTCGTCCACTGTGAGCAGAGGGCGTTTGATGAGGTGCACGACCCCGTTTTTGACCGGGATATTGGCACGCTCGATCTCAACCATCACTGTTCCTTCTTTGCGGAGCTGGTCACCGACTACCGTGTGGCTCTGGGCGAAAACTGAGGGAAAAATTGAAGAATTGAAACGAAATTTAGATGAATTGCTCAGTTTTCTTGAGGACCACAATAAGGCCCTCGAATAAAATCCACAACTCAAATTTTCGAATAAAAATTCTGAAAAAAGTTTTTATCCCGTAAAATTGAAGAATTGAAACGAAATTTAGATGAATTGCTCAGTTTTCTTGAGGACCACAATAAGGCCCTCGAATAAAATCCACAACTCAAATTTTCGAATAAAAATTCTGAAAAAAGTTTTTATCCCGCACCATATATAAGAAATGCATCCTAAATTCAAGTCTAGAAAATATTGTAAAATTTCACGAGTAAACTACGCGGAAAATTTAAATTTATTCAAATATTGAAGCTGAACGTAATTTCTCCTATTTTTGGCACGTTATTCTTCTAACGTCTCACATTCCAGCGGCTCTAATTCTTCTATGAATCTTTCTGGGTAAAATTAAATGAAGATTTAAAATTCACCCCTAATGAATCGCCCATAATGTGAAAATAAATTTCTTCAATGCATCTGAGCATTTTTTGCTGTCTTTCACGAGCACATTGCTTTTCTGCTCCTTATCTGGCAAAAAAAAAATGCTAATTTCCAGTGTACGAATTTTTTCAACATTTGAACATTTTTCCTGCCTTTCACGTGCACTTTGCTATGTTACTCAAAATTTTGGGAAAAAGTATGCGAATTTTCAGAGCGTTTTTTAAAGACACACCATCGAAATCAGCATATATTATATACATAAAAATATATAAATAGAAAATTATGGATCGAATAGTTGAGGCATGCTGATCTTTTTTAAGTCACTTGAGTAAGAAGTACCAAGTACAGTACTTGAAAATGCATATTTGAATTCACTCGAAGTTATGAAGCAACAGAAATGCCGTTGGTTTAGCTTACTCAGAAACTTTATCTGCCGTTAAGATCATTTGTTATTCGTTCTTCCTTTTGCAACAATTAAATAGCAAAATAAACCTTTACCGTCACGTTCCAGAGGCGTTCAAATAAAATTTAAAAAAACTGCTAACTTTTAAATAACCACGTCGCATTATTGCTATTTGCGTTTCCGATGAGTGAGTGCACACACTCTGCAAATACGAGTACTGTACAAAACCCGACATAAACTCGTGTGGTCAAATCCTTGAGAGAATGCAACAACAAAAAAACAAGAAAACAGCCTCGATTATACGAAGAAAGAAAAAAAAACGATCAATCTCTCGCATTAAACGTCAGGGTTTTCTATTTCCCCCCGTGATCCGAAATCCGAGAGTGAAAACTCGAAAGAAAAATAACTGAACGGAAGTTCCCAGCGGAAATCTGTGATGAATGATTCGCACGAGCTCGTTACTTTTTCTCCGCCGCGGTTCACGAATAAATCCCGCTTTTTATTTTTTCACATAGAAAAAAAAGGTAATTAAAGAATGAGAAGAACAAGAAGAAAACACCCCACTTTGCCTCTGTGTTAATGCTCCATACCTGTCAAACCAAGTTACGGCCGGTGATCGGAGCGAACGGAGCGAGCATCAATAACACACTAGCTGCAGGGGATAAACACACCTTGTTCCACCTCGACGTTTCCTCCCATTATTGGAACAAGTGCGTCTGTGGTTCATTCGAAAATTATTTTTTTCTTTCTTGCTAACCCATGCCAAAACACAAGTTTCACAAAACTTCCCGCGGAAAAATAAAACAGAACTCCGTCACATTTAGGCTGAAATAATTTCTGCAAATCGCCTCACCTCAGGTATTCTTCAGAATTTATCCAAAACTGAATTCTTCAGGCATGAAACTTGCAGGAATTTGTTTGGAAATTTCGACTGTAGGGTTGTGATTGAGATGGTTTCAAATGAATGAATGAACAGAAAGCTTTATTTTCTGCTTTTCAGCATTCACAAGGTTCAATCAACATTCCCACATCCAACCCCCCCACCCAAGTTTGCTTGAAACTCGAACGAATTTGATAGTATAATTCAACAAGGTTTCCTTCTTCTTTGAGATGGTTTCAAGGATTGAACGAATTCGAAGAGATTAAACTGTATGCTAATTATCGAGGTTTCTTTCATTTTATTCCATTCTCTAAAAAGAAGCACAGGACTTTCAGATTTTTCCGCAGGGAATACGAACTCGATGCCATACTAACAGCAAATCGGGCACTGATTACACCCCTCTAATCAATTACCGCCGCAAATGCCTCAGCAGCCAACCACACAAAATGATGGTGATAATAATAATAGTTTTGATAATAATAAGATACTGTAATGAAAAAAAAAAGAGCCAAGAGTGATCGTTGTTTTGTCACGGTACTCGGGCACCGGGTTTCCGGTAGCCGCAGTTGCAACGTGAGTCGCTGCTCTTTTTCGACGCATGAAAAATTGACTCGATTCCCGCGATCGCACTCGAACCTCATTTTCTGGGTTCTCTGGGGCTTCTGTTGTGTCGTGTTGTATTGCTTTCTTTTCATACCCCAGACTCATTTTCTTGGTAAATAATGAATTCTCGGCTTCGTTCCAGTGATTATAACAGACCTGCTGCCCATTGGAATCTTTCTCATCGTTCGGACACCAGGTCTGGTCAGAATAGCAGATGAAATTTACTTTATATTGTAATGTATGTCCTCATGCTGGGCCTTCTTTATGCACTTCTTATGGGAAAATAAGTGTCCCTATGTCGAATTGTCCGCAGGTCAAGGTGTCTGCATGTGGGGGTCTCACTGTATTTGCGAGATTGCGACTTACATTCGTATTTGCGCTGCTTTTGAGAAGATAAATGTGAAGAAAACTTCAACAGTCGCGTGCAATCGAAGGATGGACTCTTGATCCACTTACGGGAGATATGCATAATCAAATAGATCCGTATATGCCTGAAGCCCACACAAATGTTTAAAGAAAAGGATAATTTTTCGACGGATATTCATCTCAATTATACCGCTCGAGCGAAGCACTTCATAATTTCTTAATAGATGTCGCTGAGAGACTGAATCCGATCATGTCAAAGGAAAGTCCTCGCGAATAAACAGATAAAACCTAACATAAAAACTAACACTAACATTGTATTTAATCGGCGTGTAAGCCAAAAAAGAATCATCCGTAGATTTCTACGCGTTAAAGGACATGTATAATCCTTCAGTTTACATTTTAAAGAAATATTTCTCGGAATTTAGTTGGAAATGCATGCGTCAGGAATATTTTATACAGTACTGTCGTATACATATTTTGCGCATCGAAAAATGAATTTTCCGCAAAAGAACTTAGACTTGCATAAATTTTTTAATTAGATAATGGGCTTAATTAGATAATTAGATAAAGGTTGGTAAGGCAGCTTCTTTGAAGAAAATAGAAGATGCTCAGGGAATAGTCGGAAAACTACGTCAAATATCATTTTTTCATATGATTTAGAAAATGTTTCTCTACTGTTCTCAAACATGTTTCCAGCACAGAGTTCCAAATAAGTTAATCCAGATTATTTTTGTTTTGGGACATATTCTAATATTCAAGAAGGCGAGGGAAATACTGTGCGCATTATGTAACGAGTGAAAAATGTCAAAAAAGTCTCATATGGATGTTCGAACCGTTCTTCATATCTAAAAATACTCGCCTGCTGGAAGATCCCCGTCACACATCCCTATATACAAATTGAAAATCGAGCGAGACTTACGCAGAGTGTGCATTTTGCGATTGGCATCAGGGGAAGTGATGTTCTTGACTGACAGCATGACCTTGAGCTTTTTTCTGGGTTCTCTGGGGCTTCTGTTGTGTCGTGTTGTATTGCTTTCTTTTCATACCCCAGACTCATTTTCTTGGTAAATAATGAATTCTCGGCTTCGTTCCAGTGATTATAACAGACCTGCTGCCCGTTGGAATCTTTCTCATTGTTTGGGTACAAGATCTGGTCAGAATAGCAGATGAAATTTACTGCATATTGTAACGCTTACAGTGAGACCCCAAGATGCGGACATAAATAGTGCATCAAAGTGTCCCTAAGTCAAAATGTCCCTAACTTGAGTATAATTTTCCCTCAGACTTACATCATATAATTTTCAATTTGTGTTTTATGTACAAGATTCTCACCATAATTACATGAAAATAAAAATTTGTCCTCCAATTCAAACTGATTCAATCAACATATTTCAAGACAATATGGACATTTGGGGAATTAAATACTGATACATTTGTACACTACATAGAGATGTTGGCATTCTTTGTAAAAATAACATTCAGGTGAAAAAGAGAAAAGGAAGTCCCTCTATGCTGGAGGAAATTTTTTAAAACTAGCTAAATGGAGGGGAAATTGGTGAGAGAAATGCCCAAGAACTATTCTTATATCAATTTTAGGGTTGGAAATATCTGTTTATCGTAATTTTGGCCTGAAATGTGTTTGCAATTTTATCACAAGATGTCCATATGTTGAGTCAGTGTCCTCATGTTGGGCCTTCTTTATGCACTTTTCATGGGAAAATAAGTGTCCCTACGTCGAATTGTCCGCAGGTCAAGGTGTCTGCATGTGGGGGGGTCTCACTGTATTTGCGAGATTGCGACTTACATTCGTATTTGCGCTGCTTTTGAGAAGATAAATCTGAAGAAAGCTTCAAACAGTCGCGTGCAATCGAAGGATGGACTCTTGATCCACTTACGGGAGATATGCATAATCAAATAGATCCGTATATGCCTCAAGCCCACACAAATGTTTAAAGAAAAGGATATTCATCTCTATTATACCGCCCGAGCGAAGCACTTCATAATTTCTTGATAGATGTCGCTGAGAGACTGAATCCGATCAGGTCAAAGGAAAGTCCTCGAATAAACTGATAAAACCTATAACACTAACATTGTATTTAATCGGCTTGTAAGCCAAAAAAGAATCATCAGTAGATTTCTACGCGTTAAAGGACATGTATAATCCTTCAGTTTACATTTTAAAGAAATATTTATCGGAATTTTGTTGGAAATGCATGCGTCAGGAATATTTTATACTCTACTGTCGTACATATTTTGCGCAACGCAAAATAAATTTTCCGCAAATGAACTTAGACTTGCATACATTTTTTAATTAGATAATGGGCTTCGTTTAGCATCAGCTGCAGACGGTTGGTAAGCCAGCTTCTTTGAAGAAAATCGAAGATGCTCAGGGAATAGTCGGAAAACTACGTCAAATATCATTTTTTCATATGATTTAGAAAATGTTTCCTACTGTTCTCAACCATGTTTCCAAGACAGAGTTCCAAATAATTGTTAATCCAGATTATTTTTGTTTCGGGACATTTTCTAATATTCAAGAAGGCGAGGGGAATACTGTGCGCATTATGTAACGAGTGAAAAATGTCAAAAAAGTCTCATATGGATGTTCGAACCGTTCTTCATCTCTAAAAAGTACTCGCCTGGAAGATCCCCGTCACACATCCCTATATACAAATTGAAAATCGAGCGAGACTTACGCAGAGTGTGCATTTTGCGATTGGCATCAGGGGAAGTGATGTTCTTGACTGACAGCATGACCTTGAGCTTGGGTGCCTGGTTCCGAGCCCGACCCTGGTATTTGTCGCTGGCGACGAGTTCCGCGACACCCGACTCGAACTTGACGGCCTGGCCGTGGGTCGAGCCCGAGTTCAGGGTTCGGGTGAACAGGACCTGACCCGGGATCACGTGGCCAGCCAAGGCGAGGTCATCAAGACGGCCCTTCTCGATCCGGTTCCCGGCGTCAATCGGGATAAAGTACGTCTTCAGCTCCGAACCCGAATACCAGTCCTGCATGTTTCTCTCCATCACAATCCCGCGCCATTTCCTGCGTGGAAATTGAATAGACAATATATATATTTTGAAGAATTATTTGAAGAAAAAAATCGTCATACATACGAAATTCACGCACTGAAATTCCGCACTCCATCAAAGAGTAAGACTCATTATTACCTCGGGAATTAAATTTAACGTTGTGTTCTACGATGAATGGGTGCTTCGTGTGCTAAAATGAGACTCCACGACGTTACCCTCAGGCAGTTCATTGCCTGAAGGCTTTCAACTTTACATGCCATGATGAACACTTCCAGGGGAAATAGTGATGATATGCAAAGCACCTTATTCTTGCGCAGTAAAAAAAAAACACACACGAATAAATCAGAACGAATCGCCCCCTTGCGCCAATATTTTTATTCATAATTTTCACTGTGTTCAATTTTCAGTTATTTTGAAAAAAAAAAAGTATGCTCGGAGTGAAGAGCTGACTTTAAGTCTGATTTAACTACTGCAACCTGGTAAAAATTAATCCGGCATTTCATCTATTCTCATCCTCGAAGTTTTGCTTTTGTTTAAATTGACGAATAAAATGTGTATAGCTCCCCAAAAAAATTTAATCATTCATCGGAAATTTAGAAGCATTTTTTTTGGAGAAGATGCACTTGAGGATCATCTTTAATCGAGATTATCTTGCTCTGGGAAATTTTTAAAGATTTGCGATGGTGGAGGAAATTAAAAATTATAATTGATTTTTAAACGAGGAAAAAATCTCCAAGAAATATTTGGAACTTTCGTAGAGGAAAATAGATATATAAACACTGATTGAAATTTTCATCGGAATTTCTTCACCCGATGAGAGATCCGAAAATTGCGTTTGAAAAGGATATTTCACGTCACCACTAAAATAAATAAGTAAAAAGGTAAACATCATTTCTGTCAAGAAAAGTCACCATTTATTCTACAGATATTACAATAAATTCCACTGAAACTCAACAATAATCATGAGTTGTTCTAGACCATCTAGAGTTCAGTATCTATATACAAGTTCTCATCTGTTGTCGTTGTTTTCAGAAAATTCGTATTTATGCCAACTTACGTCAGTGCCAAGTTGTACTCGGACGACTTGTCAAGAAGTTCCCACGCACTGGGATTGAACAAGCTCGCTTCAGGTGCCTTGTTGTTTCTTATGCGAGGCACGATGGGTTCCAGAACCTCGTCAATGATGTGCATCACCTAAGAAAATCAATGACATTAAAAATTTAAAATACATACGAGTAAATCTGGAAATTGTACGCAAAATCACGTTCATATATAGTTCAAGCCGCATTTTGTAAAAGGGACAACGTTCAGATGTTGTTCGGCTTCGAGCCAAACCAAGAAGAGAATATAAATTTCTCCCCATTTCATCCAAGCTTTGGACAACTTCTAAAATTCAAATTAAGAGCTATTATCAGTAGAAATAATGAATATTTCCATTTTAACACGTTTTTATTAACTTGCTTTCTTGTCCATTTGTTTGTCTGGATCAAATTTTGCAACTCAAATTTTTAATAACCTTAAACGTGGTGCGCATGGAGATTGTTGGGAAGAAGTGAAATACAAATGAAATAGATGCGCACCACGTTTAAGGTTATTTTTTCCTTTTTCAAAACGTGGTTTTTTAGATTGATTTTTTAATCTACTAAATTTTTTTATTATTAACAAATGATCATATATGAACTTAGCGTCGTGCGATGGCAGACACTTTTTTAGCTATTTGAATAAATTGTTAATAATTTTGATGACGTCCAAAAATGATTATGATCGGCACTTTTAAAAATGTTGAAGAAAAAGGATCCTTGCTGAGATATTGACAAGCATATCTCAGATAACATAATTGTACAACACTATATAAGAATGTCACGAATTTTCATGCTCAAAAAATGCATCAACAAAAATTCTTATTGAAGAAAAGGCAGCTATTTTTGTCGTCCGGAAGATGCCCACGTTTGACAGTTCTTCTTTCTTGTGATCCCACATTCCATTTTCCGAATTTATTTATTTATTTTACATTTTTAAATCGCGTATAACCCCCCCCCCCTAAAAGCGGGTGTGATCAACGTAAAAGGGATGATATTCTCCCCGAGAAAAAAAATCGATATCTTCTGATGGCTGGAGAAGCAACTCGCTTTACAATCTATATATAGAGTTACTCTTCCTTTTTTTCTTTCTCATTTTATAATTTTATTTTATTTTTCCGCTTCAAAATCCAAAAAATGTGCCACACACGTAGATGAACGTTATTGGAGACGTCGTAATGCGGTGATTATATAGTGTCGTGTATACCTGTGGTTCTTGCATCCCCAGGTCGTCCTTCACAGAGCCCCTGATGTCGTGACGCAGCAAACGCGCGTTGTTGAGATAAATAGTCGATTGACGCCTGTCGTGATGCTCTGTTCGCGTCACGTACACAGGGTAGTTCCCGCGGAGCTCGGTGAGGACTTCTTCTTGCAAATCGCTCGCTGTCAATGGCAGGTTCACTAAACGAAAAAAAAAATGAAACAAGAACACATGAATTTACATGAGGTATGTTGGGCAAGCATGCCGTTCAGTTTTATATAACACATGATAAATTCTGAGAGGAAGGAAATCATTTTCCCTCTCCTCAAAATCTCATAGCATCCTCCTGGATGAAATATTTATTGACCTGATTAAAGGAGTAGAAACTATTGAAGGTTAAATGTAATTAGTAGCATATAAGAAGCTCATCTTTCAATACTCATCATCAGTTGTGAGTTGTTACTCAAGTTATTCACTTATCCTGCAAGTTGAGTTTGTTGAGTTGTTGCTTATCAATTTATTCTGCATGAAATACATTTATCCATTCCAACTAGGAAATTCATACAAGGATTTCTCAATCCTGTTGTCACGTAACAAAGCAACGCAGCTCCAGCATCTGGCTGCAACCAGACAAGAAAACTTGTTGTATTTCTTAAGCCAGTGAGCCTTGCCAAAGTCCTGTTTTTGCCAGACTCACTGAGCCTCACTCAAGGACAAGAAGTGGTCATCACTTCTTTGATTTTCCTAAAATTGGCCAATCCTGAGCCAAGAAGAAATCAGGTGATTTCTTCTTGACCCAGTCCAAGCACCTGGCTATAGAATCCCTCATTCCTCTTTGAGAGGAGAAGTCAGAACCTAGTGTTAAAGGGCTTTTTAACTTTAATTACCTCATTCAATATTCTGAGCTAACCATTGACTTCGCAATTACAGCCATTATATTAACAGCCAATTGATAAACTGGGCAATGAGAATGAACTCCTCTGAAGAGAGTTTGAGTTCTTATTCAAAACTTGCATTCTGATTGCTGCGCAATTCAATTCCTTTGTCTGGGATCCAATGGACCCATGACACCTGTCCCGGACTGATTGCTGTGCTTCATTATCCTTGACACTCAGCATCAAATTATATCGTGGTGACATTTGTCCCCAATAAGGTGGAAGGAACAATTGTCAGTCTCAAACCTCACTATAATAAGGCAAATACTGTACCTTCCAATCAAAATATATATTAAGTCTCCGCCTGAATTCCCTGAGAAAAAATCCGTTAAAAACCTTCCAGCTTTGAAGGCTTGCAAATCTCAAACGTCTGTAACTCAAATTTTTGGGAGGTTTTTTTTTAGAAATTATCTCATTAACAAAGGAAAGAGAAAAGTCAATAAAAATGTGACTTCATGCGTTTTGAAAGGAAGTGAGAGACTAATTTGGTAACCCTTGCCTCCAAGTTCAGCATCCCGTCAACTCACGCAAGAAGCAATTCAAGGCCCAGAATATCACTACTGTAATTGCAATTGAAGTTGTTTCCTGGTCCCTTGAAGTTCGACTGAAAAAACTTCGACTCTCTTCCAAAAAATTTACCGGAAAACGCTACCTCAACTTCAGCGAAGCATGTTTCTAGAGAATCTTCACCCGTTCACACGCTTTATCTTCTGAAGCCACAAAAAAATGTTTAAAAAATCCTCCTCGAAATTCAAAATAAAAATAAAGCAGAAAACGTCCACTCACAGAAATGGTACTGGTAAATTTGAGACCACACAACATTGAGATCATGTCCTTCCTGACGCTTCCTCTCTTCGAACCGACGAACAGCTTCATTCGTGGGCACCAAAGCTGTGACGGATTTCGATTCCAACATGGCTTGACCCAAGGTTTTCGGGATTCTGCTCAGGAACTGGAAAATAAAAAAAAAGATAAAACAACATGAAAATCGGCACAATTATAGCCGCATGAAATTTTTTTTTCGAAATTCCATCATGCGTCATAGTCGAAGTTTCTGACATGATCAGACCAGCAATTCTTGTTTTCTTGTTGCAAAAAAAAAAAATCCTGCTTTCGACATTTTCGACGAAGTACAGTACTTGAGAGACGATCCATATGCTGGCAGGAGAAACTTTTCCCTTTATTCCCACTTCCTTCATTCAACACAGTAAAAATAAATCCGCGGAGAGAAAATTAATTCTTATTTTTTAAAATCGCAAAATGAACAAGTCTTTCATCCCTCGAAAAATAAAACCACGCCTACATTACATTCCTCTGGAACAAGTTGTGTATGAGTCAAGGCAAAAAATAAAATAAAAACCAGAAGCAAAAACATATGTTAAAAAATACACGCGTTCCTGTTGCTGCCAGATCGACATTCCGCTTCTGTTTACTCAGCAAGGGGGGTGAAGCAGACTTGGTGCTTACGCTCGTATCTCTCGTTTGGGTATGCGTTGTTGTTTTAAGATTTAGGTAGTCTACTAGGAAGAATTTTCTTCTCCTTTATTTTTACTTTTCGCTTTCTTTCTCTCTCTGAGAGAGAGAGAGGAATTTGGAAATCCCTGAAGCGTGCCGCTGAATCACCGGACCACCGATGACGAAGTGGGCATCGAGGAACGAGGGGTTTTCCCCAAGATTTCTACGAAACATTTTCAGATTCGTCAAAATAATGAATTCCCCTTGAAAAATAATTCCCGAAAAATATTTCCTTCATGTGTATAGGCGACGTGGTTTGCAAATACTGTACTGTATTGCACAGTAAGAGTAAAATATATCAGTGGTAAGGATTATGTCGTAAAAGATTTTAGTCTCCGTCACTAGTATATAAAAAAAGTAAGCCTTAAAGCAACAAAGTAGAAGGCAACGAGTCAGTTATAAATCTGAAAACAAAATCCGCACAAGCTGCAATTTTCAGCTCCTTTAGAGAAAGCCTGGAAAATTGTCAAACTTCAGTTCTCGGCAATTTATGCCATCCTCGCTTTATGCAAAATCAGTATCACACAAGAAAAACATGATTAATTTAAACAACGAAATAATAATGAAGCATCTGCAATTGCGTCTTGATTTTTTGCAACTAATCGAACGAACGTTTGCAGTCTTTTTTCCCGAAATTCGCTCAAGAGTCTAAACTAACGCAACACTCGGGAAATTTAGTTGAAAAGCGACCACAGTAAATACATTTTGAAATGGATCGTGAAGAAACACAACAATATCCGCGAAAACTCGTGGAAGAACCCAGTCGTAAAATATTTTTTATCCCACGCAGAACCAGAGACATTTTTTTCGCGATACATTTTACAAACTAAAATGTCACTTTTTTCTTGAGTTTCTGCAAATAATTGAACGAAGCCTCACGTGATTTTCTCGGGAGTCTGACTGTCATTCTCATTTTATATAGTCACCATTCCTAATACAGCATTTTCTAAAATCAGAGGCAGTGATCATATATTTTTTTCATTCGGAATTTCGTTGTTTCATCTTCCGTTGCTCAGTCAATATTTAGACCAAACAAAATCCGCACAAGCTGCAATTTTCAGCTCCTTTGGAGAAAACCTGGAAAATTGTCAAACTTCAGCTCTCGGCAATTCAAGCCATTTTCGCTTTATGCAAAATCAGTATCACGCAAGAAAAACATGATTAATTTAAACAACGAAATATTAATGAAGCATCTGCAATTGCGTCTTGATTTTTTGAAACTAATCGGACAAACGCTTGCAGTCTTTTTTTCCCCGTAATTCGCTCAAGAGTCTAAATTAACTCAACCCTCGGAAAATTTAGTTGAAAAGCGACCACAGTAAATACTTTTTGAAATGGATCGTGAAGAAACACTACAATATCCTCGAAAACTCGTGGAAGAACCCAGGCGTAAAATGTTTTTATCCCACGCAGAACCAGAGACATTTTTTTCGCGATACATTTTACAAACTAAAATGTCACTTTTTTCTTGAGTTTCTGCAAATAATTGAACGAAGCCTCACGTGATTTTCTCGGGAGTCTGACTTAGTTCAACGAAACTTACCTAAAAGACGACAAGAATAAATCAATTTTTAATTTAATCGTGAAGAAGCACTTTGATATCCTGGAATTTTTTTTTGGAAGAATCCAGTCGCACAATTTATTTGTACATCCCACGCAGAACCAGCATATTTTCGCTATGCATTTTACAAACTAAAATGTCACTTGGTTTTTGAATTTCTGCAAATTCTGTAATCGAATAACTCGTCGCGATCTTTTTCCTGTAATTTTCTCAGGAGTCTAAATCTCGCGCAGAAATTTGGTAAAAAGGCGCGCACGGTAAAAACAATTTTTGAATTGAATCGTAAAGAAACTGAACATCTTTCAAAATTTGTGGAAGAACCCACTGGCACAATATAAAGTACATCCCCACGCAGAACCCGCTTTTTTTTTCAATGAATAATACTGCACAAACTAAAATGACCCCACGATCTCCGACTGAATCATGAATCCGGGAGATGTCGCATTTCCGCTAACGATCAATCGTCCGCAAATCCTCGCGCCATTCATTCATCAAACAAAATGCCATCCTGCACAAAGTCATCCCTGCGGGGATGTTATTCATTCAATTTTTTTTCTGCTTCTTCCGGCCTGTCCAAAGAAAAATTCGGCAACAAAACGCAAAAAGGAAGCAGAAAAAAAAAAAAAAAACTGCGGCCACCAACGGAGTCGTTCGTCGCCACGGGGAGTCTTCACAGTATACAGTTCGGAAATGCCGGGTAAAAAATGATGAAAGCGTCATGCCAAAGTATGTTCGTCAGTCAGTGGTTCTAAATTTCTCAGAAAGATCTGCAGAATACGCAAATGAGATACGCAAAAGAGAACGTCTCGAGATAATAAAAAAGAAAGGCTTGGGGCATGAACCCACACAACGGAAACCCGGATAAGAATAATGGCACGAAACAAAGTCAAACGCACGTCGGCTCGTCTTTCAACGCCAACATTCTTCACACGAATGTCACCGTACTTTTTTAACGAACCCGACCCCTTGCTCAAATGTCAAATAAATTGTGCCATTGATGTCTCCAGAGGTTCCCATAAAGTGCAGTTATTTCCGCAGGAGTGTCACTCCAAGCAGCCTTAGAAAATACGATGAGAAAATAAATTTGAAAAACCATGACACATCTTATTGAAATGTGAGATTGAGAAAAAAATCAGAATACGCTCAAAAAAGGTTTTTCTTTTTCTTGAGGTTTCGAATTAAAAAGGACTCAACACTGAATTAATTTAGCCTTTACAGGGAAGTCTCCCAAAACTTGCAGCTATTTGCGCCACCTAATTCGGATAAATATGACGCACAAAAATTCTACAGGTGGACGAACGAATTAATTTTCAAGTACAGTATCTTTGACGCAAGATATAAAAATCAGAATATGCTGACAAATCAGACAAAGACGGTTTCTTCGTTGAGATTTCGAATTAGAACACGAAGAAAAGAACCAAAACCAAAATTAATTATTTTTTAGGAATAAAATGTTCATGCAACCTGCTGCCAAATGAACATGACAATAAGCAACGAATTGCAAAAAAGGTAGACGAAAAATTACTTTCAAGCACAAAATATCTTCAATACAAGATTTTTAAAATCAGAATATGCTGACACAGCGCAGGAAAAAAAAAAGGTTCCTTCTTATTTTGAGATTTTTAAATAAACACAGCGCAGAAAATGATTCAATACCATTTTTTTCATCAGAAAAAAATTCGCGAACCGCAGTTTCAGTTAAACAGTACCGTTAAAAAAAAATCTTGAAGGTATTGTATACAGTCACACTATGTATACACACACAATGAGGGAATTTTCTAGTTCGGAGAGTCAAGTTACTCTCGACAACCATTTGGCGACCAACTGTTTCACGGGTGTTCAGCTGCTGCTCTACGGGAGCTTGCTTCTATTTATTTACCCTCCGGCTCCTTCTAATGAACGCTCTTCAGAATTTTAAAAAAGGGAAAACAAAATACAGTACAGTACACTGTACACAAAAAAAAAGGTTCCTCATTCCGAAGGTGTATGAAGAAAGAGCGGCTTTTTTGTTGCGCCACGAAACTCCGCTCCACCGTTTTTTCTCACGCATCTTTTTTTCTTTTTTTGCCGGTTAGTTTTGCCATTGATTTTTTCGTTAAAGAAAAATTAAGGTACTGGTACAGGAAACCGGAGAGCATTTGGGGCATCATCCATACGGGGCGTGTTGGCATCGAGTGATTGAGTACATCTCGCCGTGTGTGATCGATCACACTGAAAGTTTTCGCTTCGCCTTTTTTTTTTGGCGAGCCAAATGCTTAGGTGACTGAAGCGATGTGAGGGGAGAGAAGGAAAAAAGGTTGCGCAAACTGCAGGGTTTTAGGATGACGGAAGATTAGCGGGGTAGCAATTCGCTTTTTCGCCTGCTATTTTATTTTATTTTAACTTCTTTTTTTTTCAGGACCCGGATAGCGGCTTTTTTCGAGGTGGAATAATATGGGCGTCGGCGCGGGGCGGAACAGTTCGCAACTGACTTACACCTGGGCGGTCTATGATTCCATTCGATCTTTTATTATTATTCTGCAAAAAAATCTCTAACATGCCGATCTATGAGTTTAATATTTTTTTTAGCTTCTGGTCGTTCAATGAATCGATGATCTTCTCTGCCGTTACATAGATGTCACCTAGATTTTGACGCAGTTCTTCCCATTTTACCTTGCGAAGTAAGATTAGTTGAGGTCTGGTTTTGTTAGGCCATGTGTGCTTACACATGATAGGGGACAAATACAGTAGGAGTACCTTGATGGGTTAGGATAGGTGTGGTTATGTCAGGGTACGTTAGTATTTCTTCGAGTTGAAGTTCAGTTCAATAAGTTTATCTTATTCTTAGTCAGAAAATTATCTTACATTTTGCAGTCTTTTTGTATACCTTGTTAAATGATGACGGATTTGACAGATCAATCTATCGATCGAAGTTAAAAAAAAAAAATGAATCGAAAGCGTGTCCTTCTTCTAGTTTATATTCAGTTCAGTCGTATTCACTATACAGTGTAGTCAGAAAACTAAATTAAATTGCGGTGCATTTATTTTAATTTTAAAATGATGAAGAATTTGACTGATGAATCCATCAAGGTTTGAACGAAATGAATCGAAAGTTTTTCCTCTGCCTAGGACAATCTTGGTCATGTTCAGTTCAATACGCTTAGCATCGTCATATGTTCAGAAAACCAACTTGAACTTCAGTACTGTACATTTATTTCGATTTAAATTTTTAAAAAATTGTGAATGTTCAATTTATCAAGATTTGAACGAAATGAATTGGGACTCGAAAATCCCACGATCTGAATTACAGTACTGTATTAAATTCCACCAATAATACTTAAATTCAGCATTTATTTGCCCCATTGTATTCATGTCATGGGTCATGACACTGAGCTAAGAAGAATTTATTTTATTTAAATTTCAAAACGTTCAAGAAATTTCCAATGGGCGCTTGTGAATGAGAATACAGTATAAATCTTTTGAATAATAATTTCTGTGAGCAGCAGATGCTTGTTGACCCAAAAAAATAATAAATAACATGAAAACCTTCGCCTAAATGCACCAAACAGACTTGCAAAATATATTGGGCTCGTAATCTTTGGCCTTCTGGGGGATTCACTTCAAAAATTCCTCA